AGTATTTCATATAAGGAATATGATCTTACTAGGTTCAACCACCAAAAAAAATGCTACTCACAGGAACATCCAGGTGGCGTCCCTGAGCCCAAATTGCAAGCTGTAGGGTTTACCAAACTAAGCCCTTTAGATTATATGGCTTGGATTCCCTTGTGCAGCACTCATAACTGCCAAGACCCGAGCTAAATACCCCGATCCACTTCAAGTTCCCCAAGGCCACAAGCCCTGAATCCACAGATCCAATCCTTTGATCCCCAACCCATCAGCCGTTCAATGCCCAAACACTGTAAAACCTAGTACAATAATAACTTATAACTGTTGTTATCACTATTATTGCCATTCTTACTATGTACTGCCTGAATGCCTTTGCCCCCAAAGCCTAATTTGTTCTCCTTGCGCAGCCTGGATCCGTCAACTTGACAGTTCCAGACTCTTCCTTTGATGTGCCTCCGCTGCTCCTTGCACTGACATTTGGGTGATGTAGGAGCTGATGTATTTAGGGTCTTGGAGTCCGGGGTGTTTCGGGTACATTGTTGTTTCAGGTATGTATTCGGTGGACCCCCCACCCAGTAATAGTGAGTATAAGGGATAATAGGGATTATATTAGGGTCCTCTTATATTGTTACTGTACCGCTATTACAGGGTGGGGGGTCCTCCTAAGGTATGTATAGAATTGAGAGGCAAAGGATATTTCCGGGGCACAGTGGTCCTCCATTTGCACTTCGGGGCTTACAAAGCAACACTCGCAGGAAAGGATTGTCCGGGGTATGTGAGGGTTTCCCAAACTTAGGGGTAATTTTGGGGGGGTCCCTATAACAAGGGTTATAGCATTTTGGAGTCTATATTGGGGTTCCCCATTTTCATTTTGAGAAACTACCATATATCAGGGTTGTTAGGGCTGCGCCGCAGATCTCAAAGTTCGAGGTCGCCAGCAGTGTCGCGTGGATCCACAGGCTCCATTTGGTTTCCATCCCTTCACCCTAAACCCTAAGCCTTTAACCTTAAACTTCAAACCCTAAACCCTAAATCATAAACAATATATTTATAACCCCAATATACGATAGTAGCTTCCATTTTGTTTTCCCTTATCCCATTATAACCCCTAAATAACCCCAATATGACCCCAATTAAGCAGAGCTAAGCCATGGATCCTCAGCTGAAGCTGGGCTAGGCATATCCAAGGCTTGCAGCCACCAAGGCATCCCAAACCCATGGAGGTACTGGGGGTTTAGCAAAGGGATTTTGATAATAAGGGGCTTTTGGTAACTCCACCCCTCCAAAATCAGGACCCTAGGACTATCATATGATGGTTATAGGGTTGTCTTTTAGGCTTTGGGGTTACCAAAATCGTCTCCTCTACACACCTTAAACATGGTGTTATCAGTAACCTGACAAACTGCTAATGACAATAGCCTATATTCTAAGGATCCCTTTTATTTGGGGATACTATGTTACCCAATATAGAGTAAGATTATATCCTCCTGTTGGGGTATAGTATTTCATATAAGGAATATACTCTTACTAGGTTTAACCATCTTACTAGGTTTAACCACAAAAAAAACGCTACTCAGGTGCGTATCCTCCAGATATTGCGGCGGCAAAGTTTGCGCCTCCGGCCCATACTTGCACCAGCAAGCTGAAGTGGTTGTCTGAGAAGTTCTTGCACCTTAGGGTGTGGGATTTAGGGAATCTAGGGTTCAGGATTTAGGGTTCAGGGTTTCGGGTTGGGTTATGGAACCGATCTCCTCAAAGATGAGGGAGGGTTTCTTCTGTCAAGATGGACCCCTAACATTGCTGTGAGACATCCTCTGCTGATGAGTGGAGACGGCAAGATCGCTCAGAAGAACAAAAAGAAGCCAAGGCTGGAAGTTTTCTCTTTCAAATTGTCAAGAGAACTTCCTGCATGTTTTACAGTCGTGTTGGTGCTGAAATGTTCGAACCCTCTCAGACACCTCAACAGCAACTTATCCGATTTGCCGTCGTTTGCGCCAGCTTGAGTGCTCGCATGGTGCATAGTGCACCCAAGTATTGTATGAAGAGCAAGGACCTCACGTCTTTACGTATTTGTGAACACATTGTCCGGAGCATTGCCAACAACTTCCGACCACGCCGCAGAAGCAGCGCATATTGCCTTAGCCTGATGATGCACATGTCTTCTAGCTCCAGAGCAAAAACCCAGAATCAGCCGAAAGGGCAAGCCAGTTGAATGAACAGTTCTTGCTGCCATGTGGGCTGAGCCAACCGGGCGGCCTCTAAATGCTACGCGGTGAGCGACATCAAGCTTTAGTCAGTGTTTGTTACCTGAGTTTCTGCTCGCTGTGGTGTTTGTGCATTTGTAGATATATGAAGTTTGTAGTGGCCAGCTGGCACCTGTGCAGCTTTGACAGCAGTTGCTGAGGTTCCGTTTGCTGCAGTGCCAGCAGTCCAGCTGCATGGAGCCCCTTTCATACACATGGAACCCCCGCCTCCCCCGCCGCTTGGTGCACCAACCGCCTTCGGCACTCCCATCGCTTTCCCCCAGGTGACCATCCCCTTGCATACACATCATCCACATCCGCATTTGCCACCAGGTCCTCCTTTGGTGCCACCACCCTCCATGCTGGAGCCCCCACCACCCCCGCCTCCAACCATGGACATGGGAGTGCCCGCCGCTCCAGCTCCTCGTGCACCCCTTTCAGATGCTGAGGTGAAGGCGGCAGCTTCAGCGGCCCTAAGCAAGTTCATGAAGGACATGCCTGACAAGCCCGAGAAGTCTGAAAAGTCCGAGAAACGCCGCAGCCGCAGCCGCAAGCGGAGCAGGAGCAGCAGAGGCTCCAGTCGAAAGAGCCGGAGCAAGCGGAGCCGAAGCAAAAGGAGCTCCAGCCGAAGGAGCCGAAGCAGGCGGAGCCGCCGCAAGCGCAGCAAATCCCGGCGGAAAAAGCGGAGCCGCAGCCGAGACAAGGGCCGCAGCTCGCTGGTGGAGCCGCCCCCGGTCCCCGGAGCTCCAAGCACAAGTGCTGCCAGCGCGGCCGCCAGCGCTTCCGACAAGAGGAGCAAGTGGGACGAGGCCAGCCAACCTGCCTGGATGCAGGATATGATGCAGGCCCTGAAGTCCTCGGACGCCCCCGCCCCTCCACCGGCTCCGTCGGCCCCCAAGCAAAAGAACGACCCGGACCGACCCAAGGGCCATAAGGTCATCGAGCTTCCGGCGCACTTGATTCGGGTACTGATTGGCAAGGCTGGCTCAACCATACGCGAAGTTTGCAGTCGCAGTGGGTGCGACATCAAGGTCAACCACCTGCCTCACGAGCCCCAGGGCAGCATCTCTGTGGTGGGTGATATTGACACTCCGCCTGCGTTTGAAGGTTTTTGATGTTTGTGTGTTTAGGGCATTTTTCTCAGCCCCCCTCACTTCCCGAGACCCTGAACCCACATTAGCCTTGATCTACTGTAACCTAGGATTTTAGGCTTTATGCTAGGAGGGAGGCACTTTCAAGAACCTCTGACGGCATGCTTACAACCTCATAGGCCCCAAAGGCTCCTGGCGAATTTGAATTTGGATAGTCTCTATAGACATGCTAGAGAGCGTTTACTTAGATCCATTTAGATCCCATATCCGAATCCTAAGCCCGCAACCCTACACTCCCTTACCTCACAGGTGCTTATGGGGGTAGTCGGAGACGGGTACTACAACAGGGGCATGCGCATACATGTATTTTATGAGCAGCCGCAATTACTTACACGAGAGACTAGAAGGCTAGGCGTGTTGGCATTATCGCATCTGGGTTCAGCGTTCCTCTGGGAATTAGATAGGGGCCGTGGATCGAACGAGACAGGCCTTGGCTTCTTTTGCGATAAGAGCCCAGTACATATTCCAACATGGCACAGGAGATCCAGTGATTGTGTCAAGGTACCTTACAGGATTATATGCAAGGCGAATGAGATGAGGGGCTGTGGATTCGAAATGCCGCATAAGGCCCAGGTAATAAATAAAAGCCGGCGAATTGAACTATAAAGCAAGGATCCACCTCCCCCCCTGCTCTTCAAGCACCAGTAAGTAGACCCTATAGTCCTGCACCAAGAAAGCCCCAGGAGAGAGCAGAGGCGGTAATCCAGGACATCTTCCGCGCGCGTGGATGCAACTTGGCCGTGGTGGAGCTCATGGTCTTGGGCTCGGGGATCAGGTCGCAGTTATGGGCGTAGGTCGGGGGTTTGGGGCCCTCTTTTGCATCTGCAAACAACATGCTACAGCCGGACGCATTCGCCTAAAGTCCTGGAGTCTTCACCCAGAAGGCCAACTCGCAACCACTAATTCAAGCCAGCAAATCATCGAAGTTCTTGCAAGGCTCTCTATCAATTTATTCTAAGCCGGCTGTAACTTAATTAGCAGTCACATCCTCTGATATGTTGGTACGTAAGCCTGGGCTCCTTCCAAAACCCGGCCAAATCTTCCAACCTAAGTGCTGCACCCTAAGTCCTAGCCTCTGAAGTCTAGACAGTCTAGAAAATAAGTCCTAATCCTGAGTTTCCAGACCCCGAAGAGTCCCAATCTCTTCTCATTCTTATGCGTCCTAAGCCCTACCTGGACCCTGGATGTCCTTCCTTTTTAGGGGTAATGTCCCATAAATTTGTAGGGTATACCCCTAAAAAGGTAGGACATCCTCCAATGTAGTACCTTTTTGGTAGTCCTAATAAAAGTCCTAACCAAAAAACCATACCAAACCCAAAAAGGAACTACATGGGAGGGTCCAGGTAAGCCCTAAGCCCTGCAGCAGAGGCAAGTGGTCCCCGACAGGGGCCCCGTTGGCAGAGCAAAGTGAGGACCCTTCTTCGAGAGGGCCCTACAGTGCTGGGGCCTGATAAGTGATTATAGTGGAGGTTTAGGGGTTTAGGGTTTAGGGGTTTAGGGGTTAGGGGTTTAGGCTGTTAACCCCCGAAACAAATTTGAATTGCAACTAATTTTCAATCAATAGGACAGGGCTTCCGGTGCTCGTTAGCTCGGGTAAAAGGGCTTGAAATCGAGGCCCATTGGCCCACCATCAATCGGGCCGCGCACCTTCGCACAATTAAGCCGTCCCCCCCAAACAAGATTCAGGGGGTCTGAATATTCTGCCAAACTTCGCAGAATTAAGGCCCCCCCACACTCATCAGGACTCAGCATTACTGTAGAGGCCCGCCTAATTAATTCCATTTTAAACAAAGGAAACTACCACTGTAGGGTTGAGGCTGAATTTAAAAGATGGAGGATCGCATGCAACATAAAATCGAAAATTAAGTGGAAACAGAGTTGATTCCTGGTTCAGATTGTTCAGATATGGTATACAGGGTACCTCAAACGGATTTCAAATTAATGTTGGTAATTGTGTAGGCCCCTATATGAACATGACATCTGATTACAATAAGCCCCTGTATAGCCTTATATGAACTCCCCTGCCTTCAGACGGTTCGCGTGAGATTGCTGCTTACCCTGTCGGGAACGGTTGTGGGTACGGGAGCTACGGTAAGGTTTGACGCTTGGGGTTGCCCACGCGATGAGGAAAAGACACTTATTGAAGTCTTGCTACTACTAAAAGTGAAATGTTCAGGGTTTAAAGCTTAGAGCTTAAGTTTAGTCTTGATTGATGAGGCGGGCCTAGGAAGGAAGGGGTGGGAAGGGCCGGGTCTTCCATCGCTGTCAACCCTCTCGCGCCCAGCTAGGGCCTTGAAATTGCAACCCAGAGGAGGACGTAAAGATCCCCGCCGACCTGGTTGGGCTCTTCATCGGCAAAGGCGGCGAGACCATCAAAGACTTGCGTGAGAGGCCCTGAAGGGATTAAGAAAACGCGCAGGGTCCAGGTACAAATGTGTGTATAGAGTATATACTTGGGGCCAAAGAATCCAGACAGGAGCCCCTTTTGGCCTCAAGTACATCCTAGTAGGTAGCAGGACGTTTGGGAAGCTTCAGGTTTGCGTCTCAATGCCGCGTCGAAATACTGGGGAACAACTTTTTGATGATGTCCTTCAGAAGTCAATGGCTTCGGTGGCTGCTGTTCAGTATGTTTCATGATGTCCCCGCAAGATTTGTTCCCGATCCCGGAAGATAATGTCAAGTTGGGCATTCGGCGACATGCCACTGTGACTTCTTCTGCCCGTATGTCTGTGGCCCTTGCAACTGTCAGGCACAATCAAAAAGAAACATGGATGATGGTTGGGTTTATTTGATTCTAGATTCAGACCCTTCTTGAAACTTGGTTGCAGTAAGCCCCAAGCTCGATTTGCCTGGCCCTTACAGTGCCATGCCCAACGGCACGAGCAGTTCTGGTGTCTCATTCATGCACGGCACCTGAGTACATGAAGGGGTTAGGGTCTTGGAGCTACTTGTAGAGGCTTTTGGTTCAGGGTGTTCTAAGGTTGGTGGGCGTATGCTGGCGATATAAGCATTCTGCCCCAATGTCCAGGCTCCTTTCGTCTCGATTACGGCTGGAACCAATTTCCCATGCCCTGACCTTGAAAACTAGATCTTGTGCGAGTTGAAGTCAATTCAGGCAACCATATAGGGATGCTGTTGGCCTGATAGAAGGATTTCTCAAAGTCATTCCAAGGCCCCAGATCCCGGAGACATTCCCTAATAAGCCAAAAGGTCCCCAGGAGCACCCCTCTTTTGAGCACCTTTATACAGTTGGGGCACTTTTCCCTGTGGAGGTGTGGTGGTCAGGTCTCCATCACCATCCAGCCATCTGCTACACCGGGCGGTATGCAAGGCGCGCGAAATGATGACCTGGGGGCGATTGGCCAACAAGAAATCATACCTACCCTAGAGTCTCTAACCAATACCTTAGGTGGACCCCCCACCACTATTACTATAGGGGATAATACGGATTATATTAGGGTCCTCTTATACCACTATTACAGGGTGGGGGGTCCTCCTAACCAATACCCTATGCCTTATGAGTTGCAGTATACTCGGGGTTCTAAGTGGTGACAGATTTCTTTCAGCCACCAGGGACAACTAGCCAATAAGAAATCATACCGCTCCTATCCTTTGGGGATGTATAAGGGATCCTGCTTTTGAGCTCGGGCTTTGGACAGTCATGTTTAACGGTGAAATGTTGACAACTGCCACTCCTGGAGTCGATAAGGCCTGCACATTGCAATTCTGTCACACATTTGTGGTGTTGTATATGTAATCTTGGCGGAAGAGCCTGCTGTGTTGTTGTTTACGGGTAGGCGCGGATTGCCGTGTTGAGACATGGCGTCGGAAACACTATAGGGCTGAAACTGCGGACCCCCTGTTACTTGTTTCTGGTACAGTCTAGTATTGGGCACTCTTATCTATAGGGGTTATATATAGGGGTTATAGGGTATATATTTTGGTTAGATGGGGATAATTGAAAAGAACATGGAAACTGTAGGGACCTCCTTCAAAAGAGTGCGACAACACTAAAATCATTAGAGGTGAAACTGGGAACATTTTTTTTGCTCTCCATGGTATTTAGGAGCCTCTCTAAGAACCTCTAGAAGAGCCACGCACCGTAATTGCGCCCCCCCCCCCTCCCTGACGTGTGGGAGGTTCTAAAAGTGCAGTTTTCATCATCCCTTCACTGGGACCCCCACAATCCAGAACCCCCTGGAACCCAACATATCTGTACCATCCTGGCTAAACCCTAAACCCTCATATTCGTGAGTTTCGTTCGGATCTCTTCTAGAATCCTGAGGCCTTACAGCAAAAAGCCAGTAGCCTATCATTATGGCCTACTTCCACTGATTTCCTAAAAATTGGGGAAAAGTAGCCCGTTGTCATAAGCTTGGGTAGCAGCGCCTTGCAGGTAGGAGCCTACCCTAGACCCTAAACAGGGATCCTTTACTAGTATAAGAGGAATGTAAGAGGACCCTAGTATAATCCCTATTATCCCCTATAGTCACTATTACTGGGTGGGGGGTCCACCTAAGGGATCCTGAACAGTCTGAAGCACAAGTGTCAGGTGTGCGCGTGGTGGGCGACAATTGGAAGTTAGCCAAGGCACTGGTACGAGCCAAGATTGAAGCCCCTTGCCAGAGAAAGTACTACGGGTGCGGTTGGGGGGTTTAGCGTTTAGGGAGAGTGGATCCCTAGAAGAATCCCGATGTAATCCTCAATCATGTATCCCCGTATATAGTATCATGGTACCTATATTCATTCCCCACTCCCACTTAAGCGCCAGCAGGAAGCAGGAGGTGGTGCGCCCACCACCAAGTTTAGGGTTTAGGGTTTAGACCAGGAATACATGGGGACATATGGGGGCAAGTATACATTGTTTTCACTATTCCTCGGTGGGGGAAATCACCTAGCGAAGGCACGAGGGACAAGCCTGAAATGACTCAAGCGTGATTTGGGTTTAGGATTGTGGGTTTAGGGTTCAGGGTTTGCGAGCTTGGTTTGATTTGAGGTTTACTGTTTTGGGTTGAAGCTGAGGGAATCTTGGTAGTGCAGATGATTCAATCGCCCCTCTAGTAGCCAAGTTTCCCGGAGATCATACATTTTAGGTAACAGCCAGAGGTGAGAGGGGTTTTAATTAGCGGCATGGTGCAACCATCCTGAGCTTGGCATTGGCAATTCGTCTCATGTAGAGCAGTGCCTAGATTTTGTCGTCGAATTGTTGGGCAGCACTTCAACCCCCAGAGATGTTTCTGGACAGATCATCTGCTGACAGTACGAGCAGCTATGAGAAGCCCTCACGCTGAAAGTTCAGGAGCTGACAATGTCGAAGGCTTTCAAGTCCTCCGGCGGCGCTGCGATGATGATCCAGAATCCCATGATGCAAAACGTGGCGCCTGCATGTCCGGTTTCTTGTTGCTTCAGGCAAAGAAGCACTGGCAGCAGCTGCAGCGGCTGTAGGAGTCGTAGTCGTTGTTGTCGTCAAGAAGTCTTGTAGTCGGTAGCAGCATTGGCACGAGTGTCAATGAAATTATGCATCCTACTTGCGTCATTACACCCCCGTGCCCAGCAGAACTGTCGGTATGCTTCATCGCTCCTGCTACGGCTGCAGGGCTATCATGTGTACAAAGAGAAGTCTTGCAAAGCAGAATTGTATTCAGGAGCAGCAGACACATGACAACAGCAATGTTCAGCAATGTTCGATGATTCAGTTGGTATCACCATCTCGGTTGTCTTACTCAGGGTAGAACCCTGAGCCCTAAACCCAAAAGTCTAAGCCCTAAATTGAGTAGTCAAATCTGATGCCACAAGCTTTGGCTCAAGGGAGCAATGCCGCAGCTTCCCTGGCAGTCCCCTTCAACAACTGTTATCTTTGCCTTCGTTTGAATCCCAAGCCGCTGAGTTATTAAAGGGTCCCAACAAACATCAGGGACCCTGAGTTCAAAGGGTTATGGCCAACTCCCCAGGGATGACAAATTCTCGCATGACCCTTCGCGCCAGCAAATCCCAGGAACTAAAGCAGCTACAGCAGTTCAGCCGTCCAGGATCATGCCAGATCCTTCTTTTGCCAGCCCCAAGAGTTGCTGACTATATCCCCCGCGTCATCATGGTGCGACAGTCCATCCCCAAAACCTTAAGATTTAGGCCGCTTGGGTCCCTGTTAGTCCTGACGCCCATCTGCTGTAGATGGCTGCGGTTGGGGCCTCCAGGCTTTGATGCCGGTTTATTATCATTACCACTTGGTCTACTGTTGTTACCATTGCTATTACTGTTCTTACTACTATCACCACTATTTGTATTAACATTGCTTTAAGCGGCAAGCCCTTGAATCTCAACCTGATGCCCATGGAGCTATCAGATTTGCTCCAAACCCGCGAACCCCAGATTCCCATCTCAGGAACCATTACTTGCTTGAACCCTAGGGATACGACAGCAGGTATATACAGATATATATATATATGTACACATATTTGCGGCTGCGCACAGCCAGCATGCACGTGTATGAAGTGAGCATCCTAACCTAATTGCATCTTAGATGCCAGGCTATGCTTGAGCAGAAGGCCCCAGACAGGAAGTGTTGGTCTAGGTCATGCAAACACTACAAGCAATGAAGGCGAAGCCATGATGCTACTGTACTTGAGTAGGAATTGGACAAAGGGACCCTGCAACGAGAACACACGCATGAGCCAGGAATAAGGCCCGGATAGGAACAGAACAAGGACAGGCCCATGTTCTGTAGTAATTTAGGCTTCCTCCCTCTGCTGTCATCATCACCACCCGCATGCCCAAGCCTAATTGTAACCTAGAACCCTACATCCTACCTAGGCCTTTTCAGTGTAATGCCTCGCTAGGGGTTCTGATATGAGCTGTAGTCTAAACTCCCTGGAGAGGGTCTATATCGCATATCATATAGGGGAGCATTAAACGAGCTATAGTCCAAACTCCTTAATGGATCATATAGGGGAGTATTTTGGGGCTTATTAAGAGAGATACGAGGAGTTTGGACAATAAGTCATATGAGATATGCCCAGCACAAAACCTAGCGCGCCACAAGACCCCCTTTGAAGGTACCTCCCTATACAACCCCATATACTATAACCCCTACATAACCCCTATAAACCCCCTTTAAAGGTACCTCTACCCCATATAACCCTAGCACCCAAACCCTAGTCGTATGACAGTCTACATGCGCACTTTACCTGAATTAAGCCACCAATCCTTAACCTCATTATCAAGCCCAAATAAGCTACAGTATGAAGAGGATACTGGTAGCCCCAATATCCCCCCAAAATGGAACCCATAACTATCGTATGATTACACTAGAGTTCTTCAGTTGTGGGTTGGGGCTACCAACTTCCTCTACAGTAATCATGTCTATGGTTGGAAGTATGGGCCCTTGATCCTGGGTCCTCTTATACCTGATTATATTTGCCAAAAACCCCTACAGCCCAAGTAAGGGCCTGCACCTAGGCCACATTGAGGGCTCATACTTAGGACCTTAGATCGTACAGGCCGTCATGGATGCGACCATGGCTTCCAGATGTGCCCAGCCTCGGGCTTAGCTTGATATTTTCGTGTTTGGATTTGAGTGCTTCTCCCAAGGATGGCTCCCTCTACAACCTCTCATAGTCATAGGGAACTTCTATGATGCCCTCATGAACCCATATGTCCCCAGGGTGCTCAAGCTATCAGATACCACTTGTGTTTACAAGCGTTGGGGGGCAAGATTGTTTATCGCTCATTAGTGGCCTCGGTTCTTGTTTCCGACAAACAAGCATTTGTGCGTTTTGCCAACCTTTTCCCCAAATTTGGAGGGTCAGGGGAACTGAGTAAGCATGCTTCTATAGCACTTAGCAAGCCATACAATATCCACAGCTATCCCATCATTATCCCATTTGCCAAGTCCACTTAACCCTCCAGGTACCCGTAATCTTTGTAATCGTCGCAAATCCTTTGCAAGCGGGTTTCCAAAAAAATCGGCGCCCCTTTGGGCCTGGGGGAATCCATAGCATGTAAGGGTTTATATTGAGACCCTCCATTTATGTAAGCACCCAGATGTTGTCTGCAGCATGTCCCATAAAATCTCCCAAGCCCTTTGCAAAGCTGAGAGATCCATGCTGCAGAATTCTAACCATGCAGCCCTAAACCCTAGACCCTAAACCCCTAATCCCCTCAATCCTAAACCCTAAACCCCTTAAAGCCTGAAGTCTCAAATCCTGAATCACACGCCTTTTATGGATCTGCTACCACAGATCCTGAACAGGTGATGCACAAAATGCGCAGGACCCTAAGTAATGATAGGGTTTGGGGCTAAGGGTTTAGGGTTTAGGGCTTAGGGTTTGAGGTTTAGGGTTTGGGGCTAAGGGTTTAGGGTTTAGGGCTTAGGGTTTGAGGTTTAGGGTTTGGGGCTTAGGGTTTAGGGTTTAGGGATAGATCCTGAACTCTTGCTTGTGAGGCTGCGCAGAAGTACGTCGATCAACTCGCTGGTTGCAAGTAGGGAACCAATAATGTGGCCTTGTCTGTGTGTTCATCCCTAACCCCTATCCCCTAACTCGAAATACTAGATT